TCATTATAATATACTATTATAATGATTTTTTTAATACATTTATTTAAGATATTTTTCTTTGTTTCAAATAGGATTCCCAAAGATGAAGTTTTCCGGTTATTGGCCAGTGTTATTGATTGTTAGTCTATTTTATATAAAATGCATCCAAACAACCGATGAATTCGAAACCGAAAGTAGCGATTCCAATTTTTTACTACCTCGTGCTAAATTCCAATATAAAACTACTGCCGAACACTTGGATCAAAAGTCTATGGTCGGATGGTATAAAATGGTGAATGGTTTCATTTCTGCTATCCATTCCAAGTCTGCCGAAACTGTTGGTAATTATTGTTTATATTTAAAACGTTTTATTTGCTTACTCTGTTTTAAAAAAATTACTTTTATATTAATTTAAACTGTAATTAATCGGAACATTTCAAACTCGTAATGCTGATATTGCACAGATATTGCAATTAAAAAGGCCCTCTTGGTGCCCAAGGGGAGAGCCAAGCGTGAAAGATAATTTAAGAAATATATCATGGCAGAAGTTATATAATTAACGGTTTTTCTTTTTACACCAGAATAATCAAATTACATGTTAAATATTTTTCTCAATAATGTTTCATTAATGTTTTCATAACGAATCAAATAGTATTAGCCTATACTTTACTACTAAGAACTTTTATACAAAAGTCCTAAATCATTAATAACTAATAGTTATAAATAAAATTAGAAACGGATATGTGAAACAGTAGTAAAACTAAGCTGCTTTCGAGTGGAGCATTCCTATTTTCAGAAATAGATTTCTTCCGCTCGACATTCCTTCGTTACATTCCTTTCTAATTTTTTCACCAACGAACAATATTTCGGTGGGATCATTTATCTTAATTTCCTTTCATCTTCGTTTATCCGCCATCGAAATTAGCGTAAACACACGAAAAAATAAACTCTGTATTTACGCTAATTTCTTACAGTTTAGCCAGCGAACTATTTGTTTATCCGTGTCAGAAACCGCATATTAAACAACAAACGTTTAGTAATACGATAGTTAAAACGCTTATTTTGGAGATTAGAAGGATTCAAATTTCAACCTCACACAAAATTTTTAAGTGATTAAAAGATCACGTGTCATCTACCTTTTACTTTGAATTATTTTTTTGTCAGTTCACTATGCCGGCTCTTACGAAGATACACAAAATTTTGTTTTTATCCCTCCTGGTAATAATCTTTAAAACTCCGTATATAGACCTATTATGTAAATGGTTATTTCATTCCATATGTTGCCAATTACACACACAATCCTCCACAAACGCGCCACTTCGTCTTTTCTGTTCTAAGTTACTTTACGCGAAGATTATTATTTCTAAACCGTTACCAGCGTAAAAGCCCGCGTATTTTCTGTCATAAAAAAACATCAAAAACAAATATAAGTATTTAAAACGAATAAGATTTTTTATGGAAATAAAATACGAACGAGAAGAAATAGTTTATTATTATACACCGGTCATCAGTGTAAAAAAATAAACATTACGTAAAACCGATAATAAACCCACGAACCTAGTAAGAATCCTTATACAAATTGATCAACTCTTTGAACTTATAAACTAATTTTATTAAATTTCTCTAAAACATGTCTCGGAGAAGACAAAAATATTTTTAACTAGCAGGTAATCCCAACGTTGCCCGGGCAAAAAATAAGAACATACATTAAGATTCAGTAATTTCGTACTTCTAGCCCTCCTATTGTATTATATTATAGAATTTGATTTATATAACTACAAAGGTTATATTACGTAGCCGATCTACCCGTTTTCACCGGGTGCAAGAATTAGGTTTTCCCTCTTCCATGGCTAGTTAGAGAATTTTTAGATGGATCTAAACATTTGTTTGATTTTGCGCAAAAAAGACCACATCTAAAACAGTATGGCAGAAGCTGACTTCTTCCTTAACCCTCTCCCACGCGGGGGGAATTTCCAAATATCCCTTCTTCGTGTACGTTCTCATGACATGCCCTAACTATGTACCAAATTTCAACTCCTAACTGTTTGGGCTTTGCGTTTATCATCAACAACCAATCTCGATTATATTATAAGATTGATTGTGGAGAAATCTGTACGAATGTTTTGCAGCAAAGCTATCCTTCAAATATCGATTTTTTCAGTCCCTAAAATTAAAATCGAGGGTAGATAGTTTTCCGCACGTTTCGTCTGTCTTTGCTTCATTGGTGACACTTTCGCCGATCGAGCCGACTCCAAAAATGAGAAATTCGGAATGAGAATATATACTGATGCCTCGTTTTAACTAATGGGCAAGAAAATTCTGAGAAGCGCAAGCATTGGAAATTTTTAAAATGTTGACATTAATGAAAACAAATTAAATTCATTATACTTTTTCGGTTAAAGTTTACAATCCTACAACCTCTCCTATGTCACGAGTAACTTCCGGTTTACGTACGAGATCTGGGAGAGTGGAACGTAACGCGCACGATCGAGACTATCCCTAGTGGCTCTCTCCGCCATTGCGTGAAGCCATAATCGTGCATACAACACATTTTCTTAAAATGAACAAACGCGCCTAAGTTTACACGTAATTAAACTATGATTAATTAAAAAGTTAATGGAAATAAAATAAACTACGATTAAAACAAAACACTCAAAATACACTTACTGCATGGCTCTCAACCGTTCGTCGTTCCGTTAAAAAATGCAGAAGTGCCTCTAGATGATCTTAGTCGCCTTCCATAACCAGGATACGCATTATATGCTTTAATATATTGTCAACCCTTTCGCCTGGACTAATTGCCGACCATTTCATCTTCTTGTACATAAAATAATATAAATATGAATCTGACAGTTCAACAAAATGCTCGGGAATTTTTTGTTACTTTAGGTACGACCACAAACGCTCTATCCTTTGAGTACGAACTCCAGTTTCGGGATCAACAAAATGCTCGGCGTGTTTGACTGTTTTACTGCCAATTTCGTGACCCTGCAAATCGTCTATATGTAAATATCTTTCCACTCACCCATGTAAACCATCGTCCCAGGATGAACAAACATATATACAATCCAATTTAATCTCTCTTCGGACTTATCGTTAACGTCAGTGACAAAACATGCACCGTCCTCTCTACATACACCTCCCACAACCCAACGGTTTCTTCATTTTCTTACTTTTTCTCGAACTTCCTTTTATAAATTACCGACCCATTTTCACAGCGAATTTAACATGGGAAGAAATCCTCTCATCCAAACATACCTCTTTGTATTCTCCTTACAACATCACAACATGCACAGTCTTGCACGAACACCAACAAATATTCATAATTGTTATTCTTTTGAAAATCTCACTAATAGAAAAATTAAACTCGCACGTACGAACGCATGTAAAAAATTAAATTAAAAAACGCAATTGAATTGTCACTGTGTTTGCCACGCATACGCAGTGACAAACTGCCTACAATAGGAGCTTCAATATGCAAATTTAAAACATGCCATATCATTGTCCAACAAGATCTCGTAGGTAGAGCGGAAGTATGACGTATAAGTAAGTTGTAGGATTACCTGTATAAACTTTAACCCGTTTTTCAATATTAAAATACTTATAGAAATTCTGTAGCGTAAATCTGGCTTTTATTTGCCAGGAAATTAGTCCGTAACAAGCGAAATATTAATCTTCTAAGACAAGTCTAAGTTTTCGTCGTAGCTACGGTACACTTAATCGTTGGCTTTGTCGGCGTAGTGTTTGAGTGTACGCTTTTCTAAGGTAGCTCAAAACTCGACTGATCACCGGAAATAGCGATGCACGTGTTCGAGAGTAATCTCCGATGATTTTCGTAAATTCGTTTAATGCCCGAAGCCGAATGGCATTTCGTAGACAAAATTATTAATAAATTAATACGATGACATTTTTTTTTTCTATTAAAGTAAAAATCTCGATTTTAACGCACTAATTCGAACCGGGAGTGTCCATTAGATTAACGAAGTAGATTTTCTCAATTCCCATGTTAAAAAATTGAAATATTAATTTAATCTGTTTCTACTTACCGTACGTTTGCGTAATTAAAATGAAGTATATAGGAGAAGTTTAATTTGACAAAAAAGTTTTCTATTTCTTATTGCTTACGTACTCGCCTTAGTTCTGGCACTGTAATAAACGAGTATACGATGTAAATCTAAATAAATAAATCAAGATTTTTGCAAAATACACTTTATGAGCGGTGACTCTTGCATTTGAAAAAAAAAATTTCGATCATGTACAGTACGTACTTACATTAAAACTCATTTTAAAAATTAAAAAAAAAACTCATTTGAATAGGTTGTTAAATTTTTACATACGAAAGCGTACGAATCGGATTCGTTAAACAAAGATTTTACTGAATTTTATTTTATATCAAATAACCAAAAATGTGAGGTAGCCATGGGAATTATCGATATTAACCTGTATACTTGTACGCATCAGAAAAAGTGTTTCGGGCTCTTTATTCAGAAACCTGACATCGAATTAAATGTTAAATTTATGCACGGAAGAATTTCGTCAATACTAAAACATACGACGATATAAAGTATCATTTGAATATAATAGTCACCGTGTAATTCTCATTTTTGTATATAACAAGCCTCCCGGCTTGTTATATACAAAGTTGAGTAGGCTATCCAATTTATTCCGATCGTTTGTTGCTCCGGTTGATTTAAAATATATCCGACACGAATACAAAAATTTAAAAATTAAAAGGAAATTAATTTTGTTTTTGTCTACAATTGACAATCGTTAAATTTTTAAAATTCACTTTTATAAAGGATTTCTATCATGAGAACAGAAATGGATAGTTAATTAATTAAATAAGAATTTTAGATTAACATTTTAGTGACGGTAAATATTTAAAATAAAGTTTTTTCTTTTGTTATTTTGCTCATTTGCGAGATGTTATTTATTATACTTTAAAGAATAATTTAATTTTCGTCCGAGNCGGGAAATCCCGCAAATTTCTTAAAAAGTTCACTTTTTTCTTATTTTGTGTTAAGGTTGAGGTAATTTTGTAAATAGAAAGTATAATTAACTCAAACTGTCAGAATACATTTGTATTTATTAATTTTAAACCTACTTATTAGTTTTTTTAAAATTTTTGCTCGTTATGGCATGTCACAAATGGTCAATAATCAATATGTAGCTTATTTGTGGCAGGACTCTGAAAATTCGAAACTTTTCGGAATCTGTAATATCTGGAATAATTGTTCTTCTTAAGTTTTAACTATGTCCAGTATTGGACAAGTATACAAACGAGTAAGAAGTCTGCAAGTATGAAGTTTTTCTTCATAAACCTGATTATTAAAGCCAAATG